TTTTAGGATCCGATTTTAGGACATCCTGAAATATTTCAGGACCTCCACAATCCGATTGAAGGATAAAAACTATCTAGGAAATGCATGCTGGCATTTTTAAAGAGGTTAGATAAGTTTTCATTGGTGTTTTTTATACATCATAATATTGTTTAAACTTCTGTAGATAAATGGATAATTTTAGTTGTTCACTTTTCAACATAACAGATGGACATGAAGTGACACTAGGGATTACAGAATGAGCATACGAGACTCCAAGGAGCATGTATCGCTCAGCTGGCATGTTTGTATAAAAATTGATATACTAAGATTATTTCTGTTAAATGGTAACTGTGTTGGTAAAAGTCTTGTTGTGTTTGCTGATAATTTTTGCTGTTCAAAGTTTCAATGTACCTGTAATATCTTTCATGATATATAATGTTAAAACCCTAAATTTTGTCAAATATCATTATTTAAGGACAATGACTATAAGGAGTCCACTTTAAGTATCAACCATTTGAATTATTTTTTTTTTATCTTTTAGTGCTTAAAAGTTTCTATATAAAAACTTTTAAAAGTTTCATCAATAATCACAAACTTATACAATGTAAACTAAGTGAAAGTTTCAAAGTCAGTAGACCATGACTGAGGGGGTCGGGCCAAACAATCTCCATGGCAATGAGATATGCCAATGTTGATACAACTGCATACCAAATATCATTGACCTACCACTAGTGGTTCCCCATAAACTTACATTGTAACACATCACAAACTAATACATGTAAACTCATAAAAAGTTTCAAAGTCAATAGACCATGACTGAGGGGGCGGAACCAAAAAATCTCCATGGAAATGAGATGTGCTAATGCTAATACAACTGCACACGAAATATCATAGGCCTTACACTAGTGGTTCCCCAAAAACTGACCTAATCACAAACTAATACAATTGTTGACGCTGCTAGAAACAGCATACCTATGTCTAGCGTTTTGACTTCGTCAAGCCGGGTGAGACAAAAAATGATAAGAGGGTAACAATCGCCAAAGAAGGTCAATAACTCCCAGAAGTGGCTTACTGAATAATTAAAATATAGATTCTGATTTCGATATGCTCATCGAACAAGCGAGTTACGATAGATCTGAATTTTTATCAGATTGCGGTTTACTGATGATTTCTGTTCTGTCAATGGTAGATCTTGTCTAGGTGATAATTATTGGCTGTCTTTTGTTTCTCTCTATTATAGTTCCCCAACCCCACGCACACTAAAACAAATGGGGTAAAAATTGTCATTGAATGGGAATTATACTCATTTAAAGAGTCAACAACAATTTCGATCATATTGATTTATTTGTAGATCTCATTTTGGTGATCACTTTTTCTGGTACAATATCTCGAACCAGAAACACAATTATATTACATGTATTATATTGTCTCTGTTCAAACTATTATAATAGTTTCTGCCGTAAAAAAACATATGGTAAAAGCTGTCATGACAGGGCATTAATAATAACTCCTATAAGGATTTGATTGTTGATTTATACCATTTGACTTATTTGATTGATTGAGGTTTGATCGATGTTTTCTTAATGCCCAGTGGCAAATAGCTCATTATTGTTTAGGACAACACATAAATAATACTTACTATAGAAAGATCCTGTAATAGGAGACGAACGGGATGAAGGACAGGACTATGGCAAGCCGTTTTACTATTTATTCTAACTTCAAGATATCTAATAAACTTTATAAGATATCTCATATAGTTTATAAGATATCTTATATACTTTATAAGATATCTTATATAGTTTACAAGATATCTTTTATAGTTTATAAGATATCTCATAAAATTTTCTTTATAAGATATCTTATAAAGTTTATAAGATATCTTATAAAAACTGCTTCGCTGAGCGCAGCTGGATACCCCCGCAGAGGTCCAACCCTGAACAGTGGGGGCAAAAATGGACACAATATTCAAGCTTGATACAGGTCTGAATTTGGATTGTAATTAAATATTTGATATATTATAGGTTTCTGAATAAATGTAGTAAAAGAACTTGAAATTGGTTATATGAAAGATTTCTTGCTGTTGTGCAATACACTGTGCTGTTGCGTAATACTTAGTAAATCTGTTGTCAGACTATAAACAAATAAAATCTTATAACTCGGAAACATAAAATCGAAAATTTATAAAAATCAAAAGGGAGCTTACAAAAATAGATATAAACAATTTACCAAAGTTTCATAAAAAATGCTGAAAGCATTTTTGAGTTATTGACCGAAAACTGAAAAATCCCCCTTTTTGTAATGAATAAAACCCCATAAATCGGAAACGTATAGTCTTAAATTTATAAAACTCAAAAGGGAGCTCACGTCAATGGATATGAACAATTCACAAAAGTTTCATGCAAATTGTTGTTTTTGAGTTATTGTCCGAAAACTGGAAATTCCCCCCTTTTTTAATGAATAAAACCCCAAAACTCGGAAACGGTAAATCTGAAATTTATAAAAAACCAAAGGGAGCTCATGTCAATAGATATTAACAATTCACAAAAGTTTCATGCAAATTGGTGAAATTGTTTTCAAGTTATTGTCCGAAAACTGGAAAATCCCCCCCTTTTTAATGAATAAAACCCCAAAACTCGGAAACGGTAAATCCGAAATTTATAAAAAACGAAAGGGAGCTCACATCAATAGATATAAACAATTTACTAAAGTTTCATGCATATTGGTTAAAGCGTTTTTGAATAAATGTCTGACATGTTGACGACGGACGGACGGACAGACGGACGGACAACGGTATACCATAAAACGTCCCTGAAACGGACGTATAAAAACTAGATTATATAAGATATCTGATATATTATATGAGATATCTTGAACTTAGAATAAATAGTAAAACGGCTTGCCATACAAGACATTCAGACTGCCCCTGGAAACAAGGGTAAATTGGAAAGGGACAGAAATTAAGCCTTGCAGCAGGCCACCTACAAACCCCTCAAAGAGTTGTTGCAATGGTTCATAACGTGCAGAGAGCATTGCACTCTATTTAAGGATTTTTCTTGTTGATCAATTTTACTCAATCTTTTATATTTACCAAGATTAAAGCCAAAAAAAAGGGTAAAAATTATCACGAAAGGGGAATTACTGCTGTAAGGAGTCAACTGATGGCATTGGCCATGTTGACTATTTTTGTAGAGATCTTGTCTTTTTAATCTTGTTTTGCTATTCAATCTTCTCTCTATCTGTTATAGTTTTCAAAATAATGGTTAGAAACTCCAAAATTGGTAAAAAAAATATTTTGAAGGGCAAAAACTCCTATAACGAGTTGTTTGACAATTTTTGTCAAATAGGAAAGTAGTTGATTTAAATTGACAGTCTTCCCATTTTTGCTGTTGACAGATTTCCTCTTTCTATAAAAGATTTCCAGATATAAGCAATAACTTGCATCTTACCTCTATGTTTTATTTTGAGCATTGATGGCCATGAAATTATTATGCATATCTTTTTTAACTAGATACTGCAAGGAATATTGTGACCAAATTTGATTGCATATAGTCCAGTAGTTTTAGAAATGAATATTATTTGTAGAGTAAACAGACAACAGACAATGACAGACACCAAGTGATGGCATAAGCTCATACTGGCCCTTAAGGCCATGTCAGATAAAAACTTGCAGTTCTGTATAGATACATTCTTACAGTAGAACACATTCATACTGCAGTTCTCTATAGATACTTCCTCATAGTATAATTTATACTGACCTTTCATATTAGGGATGGTAATTGGTGAAATATACTAATCAGTAACCTTTCATTATTCATCTAGTAACTGGTTGTTCAGAAAGTATCAACTGTGATATAAAAATGTAATAGGCTTGGAAAGAGGTAGAGAGTATATCAGTACAAAAGAATGGGAAGCTTACAATAGGAAAACTGAAAACATAGTCCTGTGTATTTTTGTCATAGATCCTTTGTTTTGAGTCATCAATTTATGTAAATTTCTTGACAAATATCTATTAAAAGAGCAGGCTCTTTGGTCCCTATAGTAACTGTTAATTTCAAGTACAGAAATAAAGATTACTAAGTGCAGGGAATTTTACTTATTTTTGGTATTGTATAAGGAAATGTATAAATTCCTTTCCATAGAGTTTAAAATAGAATAAATTACTACAGAATTTCAAATTAAAATAAATGAAGAATGTGTCCATGGGACAGATGCCTCTGCTTGGAAATATATGGCAAATTCTGCAATTTTTCAATTTACAAAGGACATAACTCAAGAACAGCGAAATTATGCCACACAAATTCTACCTTGAACTGTGCTTGGTTGTTATAAGCATTGTATGACCTATAGTTGTTAACTTTTATGTCATTTGGTCTCTGGTGGAGAGTTGTCTCATTGGCAAACATACCACATCTCCTTACTTTTATATAGTGTATAAGTTTCAAAAAATTTGGTTGAGGCAAATTAAAGTTAGAAGGCGGAGACGGTAAATTATTAATCTTTCCATATTAAAGGGACATAACTCATTAACAGTGAAAGTGAAGTCACGCAAATTCGAACTTGATCTGTGTTTGGTGATAAGCATTATGTAAAAGTTTGTAACATTTGGTTGAGGCAAACTAAAGTTAAAGAACGGAAACTAATTTTGGGACATACGGTCAGACGGACGTACAGACAGATAAGGGTAAAACTTAATGCCCCCTCCGTATAACATACTTCCTCTCAAATTTAGCTCAGTAAGTGTAAGATCTGTTACCACAAATAATAGTCCTACCCTCAAGGGGCTTTGAACCTATGCTTCTTTGATATCTTAGAAACTCTGCCTGCACTGTGTCCAATGACCTAGACTACTAGGCCAACTAGGCTTTAAAAAATGTAGCTTTTGTTAATCAAGTGATGCATTTCCTTGACAGCTTTTTCTCGGTCTGTAATCCAGTACATGTATGACCTTGATATTTTTGTCAATTGTAAAGGTTGGCATATACTTACCAGTTGATATTGATTCAATGTATAATGAATACTGATTTCCAATCTTTAAATTTATTATTCAAACTTCACACATAAATATTATAAATAAGTCAAGATATTTAAAAAAAAAAATAACATGAGTATAATAACAAATAAAGTAAAATTCAGAAACCAATAACTTCATTTATAAAGTCAAATTTCTAAAAACTGACATAAATGTATGTAACTGTGTGTACTAAAATATTGTGATTGACTCATATTTTACCATGATACAATAGAAAAGGAATAAAACAACTTTTATACACAATGAAGCAAGTCTGTCAACTTCTAGGATATAACAAAATATAATTTGGAGTGATATTTTTTGCCTCTTCACCATAGCTGCCAAAATAAACCAAAAATATGAAAATGGTGAAAATATCCTAATATACTACAAGACATTAAAAAAAATAGTTTGTGGAATGAAAATAAAATAAATGGAGAATGTGTCCATGGGACACAGATGATGCCCCGCTTGCATATAACAATATAAAGGGACATAACTGAAGAACAGTAAAAGTGACACTACCCAAATTTGTACTTGATCTGAGTTTTGTGGTAATAAGCATTGTGTATAAGTTTCATAACATATGGTTGAGGCAAACTTAAGTTAGAGAACGGAAACAAAAAATTCAGCAATTTTTTCGTTTGTAAAGGGACACAACTCTAGAAAAATATAAGTGGCGCCACCCAAATTTAAACGTGATCTGTATTTTGTGGTAATAAGCATTATGTATAAGTTTCATAACATTTGGTTGAGGCAAACTAAAGAACGAAAACCAATTTCCAGACATACGGATGTGCGGACGGATGAGGATAAAACTTACTGTCCCTTCCCCTACAGCGGGGACATAAAAATTATTAAAGAGAAAAAAGTAGTCAGTGCAAATGAACTAATAAAGTTAGGAAATGATTTTTCCTTTAAAAGAAGATAGCTCTTTTTTTCAGGGGAGGCAATAAGCAGCTAATTTTTTTTTTGAAACACTCTATAAGGATTGACAATGGATAAATGCTTTTTTTTCACAAATAATAAATTAATGGTTTGGACAAAAAAAGGAATACTTTTATCAAAATTCACCTTTCTTATATTTAGTATCCTTAATTTCATAAAATATTATTCAACAGAATTAAAATACGTAGTAATTAACATCTTGTTTCTTTTATTTTTACTTATGAATTAGATTTCAGAATAATTCATTATTTAGTACCTAAGGAATCAAACTTATAGAATTTTTCAGCATTAGCATTAAGAACCTGTGCAAGACTGATAGGAGATTTATTTAAACATGAGGCTAAAAGTTCTAATACTATTGAAAGTCCTGCAGGTTGAACATGTTTCAACTTGAAATCTTCTTCTTTATTACTAGTATCAAATAAATTTATACACTCTTTATTTACTTTTTTGAAATCATCACATTTTTTAACCTCTGATAAGAAATCTGCATCTTCATCTTTTTTCCAGCATGATAAATATGGTGCATTACTGCAAAGAATTATTCTATCAGTTGGAACTGTTTTTATTAATTCTGGAATCCAGAAATTCCTTTCGTTAAAAGCCCACACAGCACCTGAAACATTAAACAGGGTTATTTAAATACAGTCAACTTTAACATCATCTCACTAAAAGGTTACATTAATTGTAACCAAAGATTGTGTTCCTGGTATCTATTGATGGAGAAAGGCCTTCAATTCTCATCAACACTAAGGTTTTACTGTGACGTAATGAATATCTAAGTTTGCTTGTGCTTTTATTATTGTAAATGAATGTGAATGAAATGAGATGAGGAACATCAATTAGTGAGACTGCAGCCAAACAATACATATATCAAAAGACATTTAAAGGTCAAAATACTGTCTTCAACTGTAGAACACCAGAGTAACTGAGGCTGAATTTTAAATATAAAATCTATTTTGAATTATCATTATTCTGCAAGTCAAATTTATATTTTCTCGTGAAAAAGGTTTTGTTTGTAGAATTTAATGTTTTCCAGTTATTCTTTAATCAAACATCAAATTTGCAATAACAGTTTGTGTACTTTTGAATTTTAAAAGTAGTTTCTTGTTTGTTCATAGAATGTCATATTATCTCAATTAAAGTAATACAATTCACTGTACTAATGCTGAAAGCTTACAGAATAGTGGCTGTTACTGAGGAATTTTTAAATGGAAATGTTCACACAACAGTAACCAGCATGAAAATAAAAGGTTTTATCTATTTACCAGTAACTCCTAAGTAATGTCCTTTTTTGATCCATTTTGAAATAGCTGTATCTTCTGGTATTTCATAGCCAATTGTTAAACAAGCTAATACATCTGGGAAATCTTTTAAAATATCAAGCATTTCATCTACACCTCTCCTGGACCTTACCAGTAAAGGTTTTTTAAAATGATTCGCAAGCTTTACCTACAATGACAGAAAATTAATTAAATTATATTATTCATTTCCTCTGTTCTTGTTTCAATAAAGTATAAATTACTTCATTTCTATCAACAGTTATACAAGATGTGAACTTGTAAAGTATTTTTTCTCTTTTGCAGCCAGTCCAATTTTTATACAGACACTGTTTGTGTTCATATATTGCTTTTATCCTGCAATTTAATATTCATGGTTTAATGTTTAGCTCTATAACTCCCTGAGGTGTTTATTTTTATAGTCCTGCCACAAAGTGGTCGGGGCCATATAGTTTTACCCTTATCCGTCATTCTGTCATTCCGTAACGAACAGTTATACTTTTTTTCTAAACTCCTTCACATATTGAGCTGATTTTTAGTATGTGAGTCTACTATGATGAGTTACAGATCGAGTTTACATTTGGTTCTGCTCCGCTGATTTTTGCCGAAATTACAGCTCTGGACTTTGAAAATTTCATGAAAATAACAGTTATAAGGATTTTCATTCTCAAATTTTCACTCCTAAAAATGGATTCAAGCTTTTTTTTGCAAGCAGGGCCATTCGTGTTGTTCCGACACATCTAGTTTTTAAAGAAATAAACATTACTTGAAAACAAACTAATATGAAGAGGAAACCAATATGAACCATCACCTAGATTGTAATTTGAATATTACCGTTCACTTAGATAGAAGCAAACCACTGCTCTTTGTATATCTTACAAATATTCCATAAGTATATATTTGGTTACTTTTATTTGTCTAATAAAAAGGCAGATTGCAGGATAAAGCAAAATTCTATTGTTGCAACAATAATGAAAATAATGAAACATCAAAATTAGCCTGGCAAAACTTTGATGACCAATATGAACAGATGATGACAAACCAACTTTGTATTTCAGTCATAACAATCTATGGTGGTTAAAATTAGACCATTTAACAAAAGAAAACTGTTTTTTTTTTTTTTGTATTTATTTATAATTTCAATGAATATTCCATATATAACAAAATAATTACCATATCTTTAAAAAGACTGATTTGTTTTTCAAGTGATGGTAGATCTACGTTTGCCTGTATTGGCTTGGAAATACCACATTCACCAATGGCTACTATATATTTACTGTTGTTTTGATGTTCTAACTGATTGAACAGGGCTGTGTATGTATCAGGCTTATAACGAGCTGCCATCTGTGCAGAGCCACCACCTAAAACAAAAGTAAACATTTAACATTGATATCTTGGTAATTTTGGTTTCAGTTTAATTAGATGCCCCGTATTTATTTCACTGTAAGTTAAACCAATTGAAACAGATCTCTATTCCATTTAATTTCTATTTTTGTACTGAATTTAATTTCAATTTTACACCTTAGGATCTTTCATTTAAATGGAAATTTCAGATTTTTTTCTTCTGTTTTAAATAACAAGTTTTGATTATGATTTTACTATCTGTTCGGGGCTTATAATCAAAAACTAGAACCAATAAACCATAATTTGTAAAACATAAGTACTTACATTTTTTTTGGGGGGAGGGGGGGGGGGGGGGCATTTTCAAGTAATTTACTCTATCAAGACAACTTTGGAAATGTTAATTCAAACTAAACCTTGTTCAGTGTACACCAAAATATTTCAAAATTCTTCAAAGATTTTTAGAAATACCCCATTACCTAATGTAGTATACAGATAGCCAGGGTAGGTCTTACACAATTCTATTTCTGATGTTAACATATTGTCTGGATTTCTCATCTTCATTACAATTCTATCAACACCTGAAAGTAATTCAAGATCAAGATTATTTTACCATTAAAACTAATAAACAAAACTTTTGATTCATATACATGTAGCACTTCCTGTTTTCCCTATAGCTATAAATGTAAACAAATAAGCTGTTAAAATTCTATTTTGTATCTTTTTTGTTGATATATTATTTGAATTTAAGTTGAAGTTATAACTAATTGTTTAAAGAATCCCAAGAATAATAATTAATTAATGATAATTCCATCTTACACTCTGTCTTGGATTATTGTAATTGTAGTCATTAATCAGCTGTAATCAATTACAATTTTTCAAGTAATCATTGTTATAATTAATGAAAAGCTAGAACAATTGGACAATCATCAATGGTGTGAAGACATTTTCAACGACCGTGGTACATTAAACGGAAACAAACTCCGTACATACAGACTATACAAACAAACTGTAAACGTTGAGTCATATGTAAAAATGAACATTCCACTTAACCAAAGGAGATATATGGCTATGTTTCGAGCCGGCTCGTTACCTCTGGCCTTGGAGACAGGTCGCTACTCCAGGCCGCAAGTTCCAATTGAAGATAGACTTTGTATATATTGCGATCTCGGACATGTAGAGACTGAAAAACATTTTCTGATGGAGTGCCCTTTATATGCAGACATAAGATATGATTTATTTTGTGAATGTAATTATTTAATTGAGAATTTTGATACAATGCATATGGACGATAAGTTTATATTTATAATGAGATCCGAGCAAATTCAGAAATGTCTATGTAAAATTTTACAGAAATGTTTTATGAGAAGGAAATTATTTACATTTGATTGAAGATATATACAATGTTTTATTTTGATAGCCTAGTTTTTGTCTAAGTTTTAAACATTAAGCATATTTGTTTTTCTCAAATCTTTAAAATAAGGCAATTTTAGTCATTGAGATTTATATTTTTATTATATTTATTTCTATTTTAGAAAACAACTGATAACTTTTTTTTAATAAGAACTCTAATAGTGTATTTTATATAATTAATAATAACATTTTATATTTGATTGTATTTGGAAAGCGATTTTAAAAAAAAATAATTTATTAGATTTTTAATTCTAGAAATATTTTACAAATTAACATGCAGTTTATTGTATATATGTACATGTATGTTTTTAAAGTGTCTCATAAGTCAAATGTTTGGCTGGGCATTGATTGAATTTTAAAGATATTACTTAAATTCATTTGTATATATGTACTGTATCAATCAATGTGTGACACTCAAATAAAATATATTTATCGTTATCATTAATCAGCCAAAAATCTGATTACATGTAATTTATTTAATCCATTACTTTTCAAAATACCTTTTAATCCTAATTTCTTTTTGATTACATTCTGATTAAAATGAACAAAATTGTCAAAGTGTGTTTAATATTTAATTTAATCATACAATTGACTAAGTAATTGTAATTTAATCAAGTACATTGAAAGTAATCCGACCCATCTCTATTTACAGTTTTGGGTGCATGTGGCAATTTTTGCAGTCTTTTGACAATTATCATCCATAAACAGGAACCCAAAATTAACTGATGATGAGTCAGTTTATACAAAGTTTATAACAAGAGACATTATTCTTAAATTTCCTATTTAAAGCATTAACAAACACTCCATTAAACATATTTAATCTCTTCCAACATTGCTGATTGACATTTTGTTTTCTGGAATCATCAATGCAATTGGTCATGTATATTATTAAGCAATTAGGAAATACTAAATGCATGTCAAAACTCAAATTTCATCAAACAAATATTCTCCACAAGCTGAATTTGTTACTGAAGATTATGGTGACTGATTGATGTTTGTTTAATGCCCAGCAGCAAATATATCATGCATATTCGGGTCAAATATTATAATATAGTAAGGTTGGTGTGTGTTGAGTAGTTTTAAAGTAGTCTTAGATAAAAGCAAGTGTGAAGATTTTGCAGACAAGAAGATAGTAACTGAGGATACTGAACATTATACAAGTGTATGTTAACCCTGATATGCAGGCAACACAATAAACCATATTTATATTGGTATTACCTGCTGCAGTAGCTAATTCAACAACATCATGAGCGTCACAAAATTGTATGTAAGACCCTCCATCTATCAGATAATAGCCATACTGTGTTGTCACATCCTGGAGAAGATTGTTGTATACCTGGAAACGTCCACGGAAACCTACATGGCTGTAATTATCTGATGATAACCAGTTCATTTGCTTTTTCAGAAGTATTTTTCTGTTCTTCACTTCTCTTACTTTAATAACATTGCCATTGTAAACACTACAAAGACAAAAACAACATACTTATGTTACATAAAAGATATATATCTAACATGAAATCAAAATATCCAAAGAAACAACCAGAGTTCCAATGTCCCCCGCGTTACACATATTTTATCTATCCAAGATACAAGCGCAATAAGTAAATAAATAGGGAATGTGTCCATAGGACACAGAAGATGCCCCCGCTTGCATATATATTAATAAAATGCTCCGCAGGGCGCAGCTTGATACGATCGCAGAGGTCGAACCCTGCATAGGTTTCTGACACAGAATGAATGTGGTCTAAGAACTTAAAAATTTTAAATTGGACATTCACCTATTATAGTCCAATATCCAAAATCTAAATACATGGTTAGATTCAGCATATCAAAGAACCCCATATATTCAATTTTTGTTGAAATCTAACAAAATTTAATTTTGGACCCCGATTTGGACCCACTTGAAAACTGGGCCCATAATCAAAAATCTAAATACATGTTTAGATTCAGCATATCAAAGAACCCTAAGAATTCAATTTTTGTTAAAATCAAACTAAGTTTAATTTTGGACCCTTTGGACCTTAATGTAGACCAATTTGAAAACGGAATCAAAAATTAAGAATCTAAATACACAGTTAGATTCGGCATATCAAAGAACCCCAATAATTCAATTTTTGATGAAATCAAACAAAGTTTAATTTTGGACCCTTTGGACCTCAATGTGGACCAATTTAAAAACGGGGCCCAAAATCCAAAAACTAAATACACGGTTAGATTCAGCATATTAAAGAACCCCAAGAATTCAAGAATAAAACCCCATTGAAATTGGTCAAGAAATAAGCAATTTATAGGAAATATCTTCTTTTGCACAATACTGTGCAATTAAATATTTCTTGCTTTTGCGCAATACTGTACAATTGACAATTTCTTGCTATTGCGCAATATTGTGCTATTGGATATTTCTTGCTATTGCGCAATACTGTGCAATTGAAGATTTCTTGCTATTGCGCAATACTGTGCAATTGAAGATTTCTTGCTATTGTGCAATTGAAAATTTCTTGCTACTGCACAATACTTATTATATAATAATTTACACATCCTGTTTGGTGTGTATCTCCTACCATATCATTATTATTTGCTTTTTTAATATAAATCAGAAATAACCAACTTAAAATGGAAAATTTTAAAAGAAAAAAAAAAAGGAAAAAAAAAAAAATCCCCCCCCCAAATTTTTTGAACCCCCTTATGATTCATCACCCCCAAACTCAATCCCAGCCTTCCCTTTGTGGTATGGTACCTTGCAGTACAATTTCAGAGAGATCCATACACTTGAACACAAGTTATTATCTGGAAACTAGAAAAATGCTTATTTTTGCCCCCATTATGGCCCCAAATTCCTAAACGTTTCGGGCAATTACCCCCAAACTCAAACCCAGCTTTCCCTTTGTGATATGGAACCTTGTAGTACAATTTCAGAAAGATCCATACACTTACACACAAGTTATTGTCCTGAAACTAGAAAAATGCTTGTTTTTTGCCCCTTTTTGGCCCCTAATTCCTAAAATATTGCGGCAAATACCCCCATCATCAATCCCAGCTTTCCCTTTGTGGTATGGTACCTTGCAGTACAATTTCAGAGAGATCAATACACTTGAACACAAGTTATTGTCTGGAAACTAGAAAATGCTTATTTTTGGCCCCTTTTTGGCCCCCAATTCCTAAACGTTTTGGCAATTACCCCCAAACTCAATTCCAGCTTTCCCTTTGTGATATGGAACCTTGTAGTACAATTTCAGAAAGATCCATACACTTACACACAAGTTATTGTCATGAAACTAGAAAAATGCTTTTTTTTTTTGCCCCTTTTTTTGGCCCCTAATTCCTAAAATTTTGAGGCAATTACCCCCAAAATCAATCCCAGCATTCCTTTTGTGATATGGAACCTTGTGGTACAATGTCAGAGAGATCCATACACTAACACACAAGTAATGTCTGGAAGTTACAAAAATGCTTATTTTTGGCCCCTAATTCCTTTACTGTTGGTACCATAACCCCCAAAATCAATCCCAGCCTTCCCTTTGTGGTATGGTACCTTGCAGTACAATTTCAGAGAGATCCATACACTTGAACACAAGTTATTGTCTGGAAACTAGAAAAATGCTTATTTTTGCCCCCATTATGGCCCCAAATTCCTAAACGTTTCGGGCAATTACCCCCAAACTCAAACCCAGCTTTCCCTTTGTGATATGGAACCTTGTAGTACAATTTCAGAAAGATCCATACACTTACACACAAGTTATTGTCCTGAAACTAGAAAAATGCTTGTTTTTTGCCCCTTTTTGGCCCCTAATTCCTAAAATATTGCGGCAAATACCCCCATCATCAATCCCAGCTTTCCCTTTGTGGTATGGTACCTTGCAGTACAATTTCAGAGAGATCAATACACTTGAACACAAGTTATTGTCTGGAAACTAGAAAATGCTTATTTTTGGCCCCTTTTTGGCCCCCAATTCCTAAACGTTTTGGCAATTACCCCCAAACTCAATTCCAGCTTTCCCTTTGTGATATGGAACCTTGTAGTACAATTTCAGAAAGATCCATACACTTACACACAAGTTATTGTCATGAAACTAGAAAAATGCTTTTTTTTTTGCCCCTTTTTTTGGCCCCTAATTCCTAAAATTTTGAGGCAATTACCCCCAAAATCAATCCCAGCATTCCTTTTGTGATATGGAACCTTGTGGTACAATGTCAGAGAGATCCATACACTAACACACAAGTAATGTCTGGAAGTTACAAAAATGCTTATTTTTGGCCCCTAATTCCTTTACTGTTGGTACCATAACCCCCAAAATCAATCCCAACCTACCTTTTGTGGTATTGAACCTTGTGGTAAAATTTCATAGAGATCCATTCACTTAAACTAAAGTTAGAGTGCGAAAAACCAATGTGTCTTCGGACGACGCCGGACAACAACGACGCCAACGTCATACCAATATACGACCACAAAAATTTTTTTGCAATTGTATGAAAAGGGACATAACTCAAGAAGGGTAAAAGTGACGCTACCAAAATTTGTACTTGATCTGAGTTTTGTGGCAATAAGCATTGTGTATAAGTTTCATAACATTTGGTTGAGGCAAACTAAAGTTAGAGAACGGAAACGAAAATGAAAAGTTCAGCAATTTTTAACCGGATTTTCGAAGTAAAAATTGGTTATTGATTTAGGGATGTACGGCGGGCGGGTGGATGGGCGGGCGGTTGCCAAACAGTGTCTGTTCATTTACATGAAAATACTTTGAAGAATTTTTTTCAAATTTAGATCTGTTGTTTCCTGTGACTAAATGAAGGTCAAGTTCAATTTTCACGATTATAGCTTTTCTTGTTGTTCAGTTATAGCCCTTTCCCAAAAATTCAATTTTTGATACATTGTATTAATGATAAATGACATTTTGGATTTTTTTTTTCTTTTCTTTGGTAAATTGTTTGAAGAATTTTGTGGTAGGTTTGTTGGTTATTCTGTATAAACTAATTTTCTGAATGCTATATATATTTTTTTTTTATGAAGTGAACTCCTTTAATTAGATAATAATCTATTTTTATTATAGGATATATTTCATTACATTTAATGTTGTTGACATTGATCACAGATAAGTTGCAGATCTGTATTAGTTTGTGACAAATGAAAGAATAAATATTAAATGGGGAATGTGTCCATGGGACACAGATGATGCCACCACTTGCATATAACGTTAATAAAATGCTTCGCTGGGGCGCAGCTTGATACGACCGCAGAGGTCGAACCCTGAACAGTTGGGGCAAGTATGGACACAAAATTCAAGCTTGATACAGCTATGACTTTGGATTGTCATTAAATATTTGACACAGCATAGGTTTCTGACACAGGATGAATGTGGTGTAAGAACTGGAAAAAATTTAATTTACCTATTATGGTGGAATATCCCTAAAATAAATTGTTTGTTAATTTCAATATATCAAAGAATATGTAGAATTCAATGTTTGATGTAATGTAATAAAGTTGAAATTTGGACCGTTTTTGTTCAATGTGGACCAATTTGGTAACATGTATAAATAATCAAAAATCTAAATACATGGGAGCCCATTTAAATACATCATAAAGGTATTAAAATAGAAAGTGACATCATAGTCATGGCTAAAAATAAACAAAAATCCTTAATCAGCAACATTTAAAGTAATATCTAAAAATAAAATTCCTTTGTAACCATACAAGCCCATTTAAATACATCATAAAGATATTAAAATAGAAAATGACATCATAGTCATGGCTAAACATAGCAAAAAACCCTTAATCAGCATCATTTAACAGTAATATCTAAAAATGGAAATTACATCATAAAGGTATTAAAATAGAAAATGACATCATAGTCATGGCTAAAAATAAACAAAATCCTTAATCAGCATCAGCAACATTTTATAGTAATATCTAAAAATAAAATTCCTTTGTAACCATAAAAGCCCATTTAAATACATCATAACAGATATTAAAATAGAAAATGACATCATAGTCATGGCTAAACATAGCAAAAACCTTAATCAGCATCATTTAACAGTAATATCTAAAAATAAAAATTTCTTTGCAACCATAAAAGTAAAATAGAAAATGACATCATAATCATAGCTAAAAATAAACAAAATTTTTTTTTATTGGCAAATTTTAAATGGAGTTTATTATACTAAAACAATAAATTTGCAACCATAAACATGATAAAACCCCATTTAAACACATCATAAAAGTATTAAATAATTCAACTATATCATAAGGCTATAAAAATAGAAAATGACTTCATAGTCAAGGCTAAAGGTAAACAAAAAACCTTCATCAGCAAAATTTTATATTGGCAAATTTCCAATGAAGTTTATTACACTAAAATTGTTGGCAAATTTCCAATGCATTTATTAACAATAAAGTTATTGGCAAATTTCCAATTTACATAATTTAAAAGCAGTGTAGATGAGATATTTAAATGAGTTTGAATTACCAACCTTACACTGCTTTTAAATAATGTTCTTTACTCAATTATTTGTCTATTAAAATGGAAACCCTTGTTTTTTAACCTTTTTTCCCCTTATTCCTTAAACATTAGAGCCATAACCACCCCCCACACATTTTTTCAACCCCCTTTTGATTCACCATCCCCTACCTCAATCACAACCTTCAATTTGTGGTATGGTACATTGCAATACAATTTCACAGAGATCCATACACTTGAACACAAGTTTTTGTTGCAAACTAAAAAAATCCTTATTTTCGACCAATATTTGGCCCCTTATTCATAAATGTTTGAGCAATTAACCCCAAAACTCAATTCCTACTTTCTCTTCGTGATAAAAAATAACTAACTTAAAATGTAAATTTTAAACAAAAAAAAAAGGAAAAAAAAAATTACCCCTTTTTTCACCCCCGCCCCCTTATGATTCATCACCCCCACCCCCTTTCCCCCCAAACCAAGCTCAATAACAGCCTTGCCTTTGTGGTATGGTACCTTGTAATAAAATTTTAGAGAGATCCATACACTTGAACACAAGTTATTGTCTAGAAACTAAAAAATGCTTATTTTAAACCCCTTTTTAGGCCCCTTATCACTAAACATTTTGGGCAATTACCACAACACTCAATTCCAGCTTTCCCTTTGTGAAATGGAACCTTGTAGTAAAATTTCAGAAAGATCCATACACTTACACACAAGTTATTGTCATGAAACTAGAAAAATGCTAGTTTTTTGCCCCCTTTTGGCCCCTTATTCCTAAAATTTTGAGGCAATTAACCCCAAAATCAATCCCAGCATTGACCCTTTGTGATATGGAATCTTGTGGTACAATGTCAAAGAGATCCATATGCTAACACACAAGTTATGTCTGGAAGTTACAAAAATGCTTATTTTCGGCCCCTTTTTGGCCCCTAATTCCTTAACTGTTGGTACCATAACCCCTAAAATCAATCCCCACCTTCCTATTGTGGTACTGAACCTTATGGTAAAATTTCATAGAGATCCGTTCACTTAAACTAAAGTTAGAGTGCGAAAACCATTGTGTATTCGGACGACGACGCCGGACGACGACGACGACGACGACGACGACGACGACGACGACGACGACGCCAACGTCATACCAATATACGACCTCAAAATTTTTTTGCGGTCGTATAAAAAGGGCCATAACTCAAGAACTGTAAAAGTGACACCACCAAAATTTTGAAAATAGATATACATTGTGTTACATCATATCTAATTTTAGAGAACTATGTTAAACCATATTTCTGTTCAAAGGGAAATAACTCAAACTTATTCCATGAACACATGATAACATCAAAATTTCTTTATAACTATTTTATTTTCAGTCATGTGTGTTATGAAGGTAGATGTCACAGTTGTTATGTGGTATTTTATTTTTGTTGTGTGTGTTAATGTTTAATTTTTACATGATCCTGTTTGGGGTTCAGATTTGCAAATATCATTTTGATTATTAATTAGATAATAATCTATTTTAAATATTCAATCACAATCCAAATTCAGAGCTGTTTTTAGCTTAAATGTTGTGTCCATACTTGCTCAACTGTTCAGGGTTCAACCTCTGCAGGAAAATCCGGTTTGCTGTCACTCGACAGCCTCTTGTTCCATTTGCAATAGGGCATAACTCTAGAACAGTAAAAGTGACGCCACCAAAATTAAAACTTGATCTGTATTTTGTGGTGATAAGCATTGTGTACAAGTTTCATAACATTTGGTTGAGGCAAACTAAAGTAAAGAACGGAAACGAAAAATTCAGCAATTTTTCCATTTGTAAAGGGGCTTAACTCTAGAACAGTAGAAGTGACGCCACCAAAATTCAATCTTTATCTGTGTTTTGTGGTAATTAGCATTGTGCATAAGTTTCATAACATTTGGTTGAGGCAAACTAAAGTTAAAGAACAGAAACAAATATTTCAGCAATTTTTCCATATGTAAAGGGGCATAATTCTAGAACGGTAAAAGTGACGCCCAAGAAATTCAAACTTGATCTGTGTATTGTGGTAATTAGCATTGTGCATAAGTTTCATAACATTTGGTTGTGGCAAACTAATGTTAGAGACGCAAAATTCAGCAATTTTTCCATTTGTAAAGGAGCATAACTCTAGAACATTTAAAGTGACAACACCAAAATTCAAACTTGATCTGTATTTTGTGGTGATAAGCATTGTGTATAAGTTTCATAACATTTGGTTGAGGCAAACTAAAGTTAGAGAACGGAAACGAAAAATTCAGCAATTTTTCATTTGTAAAGAACATAACTCTAGAACAGTAAGAGTGACGCCACCAAAATTCAAACTCGATCTGTGTTTTGTGGTAATAAGCTTTGTGGATAAGTTTCATAACATTTGGTTGAGGCAAACTAAAGTTAGAGAATGGAAACCAAACCTCTGCTACGGGGGGGCATAAAAAAACACTTTTTTTTTTCTTTAAAACTTTTTATAAATATCATAGAGAAATGAAGGCTTCAGAGCAAATGCAATGTGATTTCCGTTATAATTAATATTTCCAAGGAGCATAACTCGTTAAAAATATTTGAGCAGCACATATTTTCAAAAGTGTCAAAGACATTGCTGATATGAACCTATGATATAAGTTTCATAAAATTCTGGCAAGAATTGTAAACATGAGAGCCCTAAGAATACAATTCTCCATATAATTAATATTTCCAAGGGGCATAACTCTTAAAAATAATTGATCGGCACTGATTTTCTAACTCGTCAAAGACATTGCTGAATTAAACCTATGAGATAAGTTTTATAAAATTCTGGCAAGAATTGTACACATGAGAGTCTTAACAATTCAATTTTCCATACAATTAATAGTTCCAAGAGGCATATATATATATATAATAGCTCTTTTAAAAATAATTGATCAGCACTGATTTTAAAACTAGCCCAAGACATTGCTGATATAAACCTATGATATAAGTTTCATAAAAATCTGGCAAGAATTGTACACATGAGAGCGCTAACGATGCAATTTTCAATATAATCAATGTTTCAAAGGGGCTTAACTCTTTTTTTAAAATAATTGATTGGCACTGATTTTCAAACTCGTTCAAGACATTACTAATAGAAACCTATGATATAAGTTTCATAAAATTCTGGCAAGAAATGTTCATACGAGAGCGCTAATGATACATTTTCCTAACCCGAATAATTCTGTTCCTCCCCGTAATCGATCTCTCCTACTTGCGAGGACCTGAATTCCTAACACACTAAAAACTCTTCACGAATCCTGGATTTTGATTGGTGTCCTGTAGAAGAGGTGACCAATCAGCAATCAGCTCTATTTCATCGAGATAGGTGAATCCTGAGCAAATTCTGAATGATTGATTGATTTTTCATGGTCCATGCATTTAGACGTTAATGTAGTAATCGTAGATCAGCGGAATATAACGACTGAATTATTCGGGTTACAATTTTACATATAATAAATGTTTCCAAGGGGGATAACTCTTTTAAAAACAATTGATCGGCACTGATTTTCAAATTCGTTCAAGACATTACTAATAGAAACCTATGATAGAAGTTTCATAAAATTCTGGCAAGAAATGTTCATACGAGAGCGCTAATGATACATTTTCCTAACCCGAATAATTCTGTTCCTCCCCGTAATCGATCTCTCCTACTTGCAAGGACCTGAATTCCTAACACACAAAAAACTCTTCACGAATCCTGGATTTTCATTGGTGCCCTGTAGAAGAGGTGACCAATTAGCTCTATTTCATCGAGATAGGTGAATCCTGAGCAAATTCCAAATGATTGATTGATTTTCCATTGTCCATGCATTCAGACTTTAATGTAGTAATCGTAGATCAGCGGAATATAACGACTGAATTATTCGGGTTTCAATTTTATATATAATTAATGTTTCCAAGGGGGATAACTCTTTTAAAAATAATTGATCGGCACTGATTTTCAAACTAAACCAAGATATTGCTGATATAAACCTATGATATAAATTTCATAAAAATCTGGCAAGAATTGTATACTTGAGAACGCTAACAAGACCGGACAGATGGATGGACGCCCGGTATTTCTATGTCCCCTGCAACGCATTGCGCGGGTGACAGAAATAGATTTTCACATACAAAAAATAATTTAAACCTTCAAGTCTTAATAAGTTGTACCGGAAAATGAAAATTGTAAAATCATAGATTTTTCATGGTTTTTAGAAGTGAACATTATGAACAATGTGTTATCTCTGTTACTAAATTGTTACCTTATATGTCAGTCATGTGATCATCATGATAACTGTAGGACATCACTTATTCATTATGATTAGTATTAAATTTTTAAGTAATATCTGGAAAATGTGTATTGAAAGAATAACAGTACTGTAGCTGAAGAGTTGCTGCTGCACAACTAACAGGATAACCTCCAGCTTAAAATTTTCATTTGAATGATGTCATGTATTGCTGTGACATTCACGCATCAAATTTATTCATGAAATTTAACGGAATATTATTTTATCTAATTTGATAAATTTTTTCAAGTTCCAATGTATTATTTCTTTTTTATATGCATTGGAATCAGAATAACAATAACAATAATACTGTAGTTGAAGAGTTGTCACCGTCAATTGTGGATTTGTTGGTCACAGATGCAGTTTTACTGGCATTGCGTAGCATAGACATCTGTGATTGTGACAATATCTGGGCAGAAAAAGTACCTGTTATGTTTTGTGAGAATACCACTATGATTGAGACAATATCTGGGCAGAACAGCTACAGCTAAACCTGCACAGGCTCCTTTCTTGTCTGCAGCCACTGAAAGTTGCATTATTTTTTTTGCATACACCATTTCTCTTAATTGAAGACATTTTACAAGATCTTTGGCTGTGGTAACTTTAGGTAAATTTTCTGAAATAAAAAATAAAAAGTTGTAAGCCTTAGTATACATGTGTGCCTATAGAAATTAGAGGCTGATCAGTCATCACAACATAAGCATCATTTCATTACTAACGTCCATAAGGCCAAATCCTGTTTAGGTTCAGTTTTAACTTTATAAAGCACTATAATGTATATGTTGACACAAGTTATCAAAATGTGTGTACAAAGCACATGTAGCCTAACTTGTATACACTAGGGCATGTATAAAAGATAATTTCTTTTCCCTTTTGATAACAAAACAAGAATGTGTCCATAGTACACGGATGCCCCACTCACACTATCATTTTCTATGTTCAGTTACCCTGAAAATGTGGTTAAAACTCTAATTTGGCATTAAAATTAGAAAGATCATATCATAGGGAATATGTGTACTAAGTTTCAAGTTGATTGGACTTCAACTTCATCAAAAACTGCCTTGACCAAAAACTTTAACCTGAGGCTGGACAGACGGACGAACGAATGGAAGCACAGACCAAAAAAAAACATTATGCCCCTAGGTGGGGCATAAAAATTTCTTACATAGCCATGAGTGCTAGATATTTAGTTGGTAGTTTCTGACAAGTAGAACAAATATAATTGTGTAACTATAAATGACAATTTAAGACATAAACTGAGACAACTGTTACTTAAATTGTATGGTCGGGTATGATTTTAATAGTACGAAAAAGAATTTAATAAATAGGATACATATGGCCCTTTATATTAAATAATTGTTGTCTTTAATAAAATGCTCCGCTGTGCTCAGCTTGATACGTGTGTGGAATAAACTAAGTAAGTCAAATATGTACTTTGCGTTGTGTTTACTTTGCGTATAATATTTACAATGGCGAAGCCCATACAAGGTGAAAGTAACGTCACAAACATGTGAACGTAAATACGAGAAACGTAACGTTATTACTTCGTACTATTCTCAACAATACGACCGCAGAGGTCGAACCCTAAACAGTTGGGGCAAGTATGGATACAACATTCAAGTTTGATACAGCTCTGAATTTGGATTGTGATTAAATATTTGACACAGCATAGGTTTCTGACACAGAATGAATGTGGTCTAAGAACTTAAAATTTTTCAATTTACCTATTATGGTCCAATATCCAAAATCTAAATACATGGTTAGATTCAGCATATCAAAGAATCCAAAGAATTCAATTTTTGATGAAATCAAACAAAGTTTAATTTTGGACCCTTTTGACCTCAATGTGGACCAATTTGATAACGGGGCCCAAAAATCAAAATACATGGTTAGATTCAGCATATCAAAGAACCCCAATAATTCAATTTTTGTTGAAATCAAACAAAGTTTAATTTTGGACCCCAACTTGGACCAACTTGAAAACTGGGCCCATAATCAAAAATATGAACACATGTTTCGATTCAGCATATCAAAGAACTCCAAGAATTCAATTTTTGTTAAAATCAAACTAAGTTTAATTTTGGACCCTTTGGACCTTAATGTAGACCAATTTAAAAAACAGGACCCAAAATTAAAAAATACATGGTTAGAATCAGCATATCAAAGAACCCCAATAATTCAATTTTTGATGAAATAAAACAAAGTTTAATTTTGGACCCCAACTTGGACCAACTTGAAAACTGGGCCCATAATCAAAAATATGAACACATGTTTCAATTCAGCACATCAAAGAACTCCAAGAATTCAATTTTTGTTAAAATCAAACTAAGTTTAATTTTGGACCCTTTGGACCTTAATGTAGACCAATTTAAAAAACAGGACCCAAAATTAAAAATCTAAATACATGGTTAGAATCAGCATATCAATGAACCCCAATAATTCAATTTTTGATGAAATAAAACAAAGTTTAATTTTGGACCCCAATTTGGACCAACTTGAAAACTGGGCCCGAAATCAAAAATCTAAATACATGTTTAGATACAGCATATCAAAGAACCCCAAATATTCAATTTTTGTTAAAATCAAACTAAGTTTAATTTTGGACCCTTTGGACCTTAATGTAGACCAATTTGAAAACTGGACCCAAAATTAAAAATCTAAATACACGGTCAGATTTGGCATAACAAATAAATAAATGTGGTCAAAGATTTTACAAATCTAATGCGCCATACTGTGCAATTAAAGATTACCTCTTGAAATTTTTCAATATTTGAAATTTGAAAAAAAAATAATATTTGAAGAATAATTCTTTTTAATTTCTGAAATTGACCCCCCACAATTTCTTTTTACCCCCCCCCCCCCCCCCCCCCCCACTTTTTCCCACAAAAAATTCTTTCCCTCAAGATATGGTCATAATCTCAATTCAAATTTCCAATGGAATTTGCAACCATAATTACCCATTTAAATTTACCATAGTGCTAACTTAATCTATTTTATAATAGAATTTAAAATATGGTGTCAAATCTTTCATTAGGATTTTTTTGTAAAAAAAAAAAAGATGCAACATTTGCAGATATTTTTACTGGTCTTCCTTTATAAATATGCATTTCTTTAAACATAATTTAAAAGCAGTGTAAGGGAAGTAATCAAAACGTTGTATGTGGATTACCTCCCTTACACTGTTTTAAATTGTCTGAATTGTTCATTAACCATTACTTTATACATAATTTAAAAGCAGTGTAAGGGAGGTAATTCAAATGATGTATTTGATTTATCTCCCTTACACTGCTTTAAATTATGTTTTGTACTAAAGTATTTGTCCATATAAAAATGCTTGGTTTTTGCCCCTTTTTTGGCCCCTAATTCCTAAAATTTTAAGGCAATTACCCCCAAAATCAATCCCAGCATTCCCTTTGTGATATGGAACCTTGTGGTACAATGTCAGAGAGATCCATACACTAACACACAAGTTATGTCTGGAAGTTACAAAAATGCTTATTTTTGGCCCCTAATTCCTTAACTGTTGGTACCATAACCCCCAAAATCAATCCCCACCTTCCTTTTGTGGTATTGAACCTTATGGTAAAATTTCATAGAGATCCATTCACTTAAACTAAAGTAAGAGTGCGAAAACTAATGTGTCTTCGGACGACGATGACGACGACAACGACGCCAACGTCATACCAATATACGATCGCAAAATTTTTTTGCAGTCGTATAAAAAACAGTGTAGCGCCACAAGCAAATGAGCACTTCTCTTTACAGTCGAACCACTTCTCCCTAGATCAGTTTCAAAAAGCGGTCCGTTTTCCCTCTTATTCTGAAATAGTGTGAGCCCTGTAAATAATTATATAAAATATTGGCATTTTTGTTTTCTGACTTTATCAGCAAGAATATCAAGTGAGGCCACTTCATATTAGTAATTTAAAGCCCACTCTCCAATTCTGTTGAATAAAATGTTTAAATATTGCAAATTTTACATAATGAACTAATTTGTGTATAAAAGACAATAAAAAAAATATAAAAAAAAAAAATAAATAAAATATAAAAAATATTTAAATTAAAATCACAATTATAGGTTTCCCTTTCCATTAAATTTTAGTTTCCGTTTCCTACAAATTAATTACGTTGATGCAAAATAAAAATATACTGTCAGTCTTGAACACTCTTCACTCAATCAATCTTCATTTAGCCATCAGAATGCCCAACATGATCATACTGAGAATTAACACACAAAAATCCAGATCTTGGAAATTTTATCAACAAAGATCACCTGTAAAGTGGCACTTGCCGTATTTTAGTAATTTTATAACAGTATCTTTTGCTTTGTGACATAAAATATTTCATGTGACATCAAAAGTTTATATCCTCGATGATTGGAAGTTCGTTACCCTAACTTGAAACTGAAGAAAAAAATCACAACCTTGTAGCAAATTTTATCCACTGTGGATGTAAATATTCTTTACTTATTTGCCATCAGTCTGATACATTCAATTGATGAATAGCTTCAGAAACATGGTCAATCTTTCTATGTTTCGTATTGTGACCCGATTCCGTAAAATAAGTAGACATGCTTGTAACTTCGTGACCTTTGTCTTGGACGGTGGCTTTTGGGCATGTGCAACAATATATAGGCCAGGCCTTTGTATTATGTATTTGAACATTACAGAATAAATTTGAGATCAAATAACAAATGAATGTCTCAAAAAAAAAGAGAAATTGGGACATACTTTTTATTCTCCCTACAAAGATTATTCTAATTTTTACACGTGACTTTCAATGGTCAATTGGAAAGTCCAGAATTTATATAATACACTTTAAACATGTTTAAGATAACTATTAAGATGTTACAATGTCATTAATGCATCAAAGTATTTTTTCATTCAATGGCATAGGATTAAATTACTTTTACGAGCCAATATTCGGCAGGTTTTGTTTTATCAAAATATATCAAATCATTTTCTGATCTTAAAAAATCCGCTCACATACAGACTTTAAAAAATAATACTCTTGGCCTTAAAAAAAGCAATAAGAGGCCACATAACCTACAAAATAGATGATGACTCATTGTTGAGATGTCAATAACATTGCTGAAAGGATTTTCCCAAGAATGCAACGAAATTCTAGGAGAGGAATAAAACATACAGTACTAGTGGAAATAGACGTTTAAACAAATAATATGCTAGAACATACACAACTTCTCTTTATCAAGCCAATATTAGTGAAAATGCAATGAAAAATATTTTTTTTGAAGTAGCACGTTGCCGATGATAAATACTTTTGCATGACGTCACGAATAAAGTGGAAATCCCCAAATGTCACGAACTTGCTAGCATAACGAACTTGCAATCATCGACGACAGTGGAATGTCTGTGCATGATCTGGGACTATTACATTGAGCATATGTATCTATCAGTCCCCAGCAGTGATGCTAAAAATGTGCAGATAAATTTTACAATGTGGTACCGTATTAGTTGCAAGAAATTTATTTGATTTAATAATTTTTGTACTGAAACTTACCGATCACAACAACAGCTTGACAGTTTACTTTTGGTGTTATTGAAACAGTCTCCGACAAAATTTCTACAGGTTTAAAATATGGAAACCATTTTCTTAATATTCTAGAAATATGTTGCTTAACTATCCAACGTCTGTCATATACTGATACCAACATAGATTTTACATATAAAAACAGTGTCTTGGGTCCCACAATAATTACAGCAAATATCAACATTCCTATCACAACCGTAGCAAACCAAGTAACACTAAAACGTTCGACTATAAAGACTCTTGTATCTGTACCCATTTTGTTGTTTTTTTACGATATCGAAGTAATAGAAAACTTCCCTATTTATAATAAATTGATTTGTTTAGACTTGCTTACCAACCTGTTGTGAAATACGGAAACTGTCATATGAACTAAATTTAGAACAGACGTCGGGACGAACTTGCTAAATCTCGGATTTTTCTCTCCTATTTCAAAAAAAAAACTGTCGAATTGAATAAAATTTACCCCTGTTTATACTATCCTTATTCTTTCTATACGAATATCAAAACAAACATTACTTCCTGAACAACATAAAAAACAGATCATATGTTTTCGTACGTCATATGAATATTCGTACTATGCATGCTTTTTTCAATGGAAATCATGACGTCACAATGCATTCTTAATAGCACGAAAACCCATGAGACGAGGATATGTATTGTAGTAATCGCAGATCCTGTTTTCATTTTCAAACACCGAACATTTTGCATTGTTAGATTGTTTGTCAATTCCCATGTTGAACAGAAAAATGCCTCAAAAAAATTACCACCAGCAACGTTAGTATAAGTCACCAAAATTCATAATATTCAGCAATTGTTTCTCTTTCTTATAAGTCAAACATCAAATACTACGCTCGCGTATTATTTTACTTGTAATTTTGTTGTTGGGATATCCCATTATATATCAGCAAATTTAGGTCTATCCTCGGTTACTCAGTCGTCACGGATGATTGTCCGCTATCCTGTAATCAATAGCAGTATTGCATTTTGTGTGTGCTTAATACTGTCGACATCGCGATATTAACAGCGTTAACATGATATCATGCCAACATCGTTAATATTGTTAGAACTCTTTTTTTTTTTTTTACCTCGTTTACACCGTTAACATCGCGATGGATACAATGTAGTCACGATATCGTGTGAACATCGCGATATTAACAATGTTTACACGATAGTGTGTTAACGTCGTTAAGTTGCGTTTTAAGACACTAACGTGCGATTTTATAAGTCGGGTTGTTGAGAAGTAAGTCAGCAACTCGTTATATTTAACTCGTGAAACGGAGAAAATAACTCACAAAGACACGGCACATATACGCTTCCGTACTCCTACATACAGTTTTATACATTGTTGCCATTGTTAACATCACAATGTTTACAATGTGGTAACGATATCGTGTTAATATAGCGATATTAATATCGTTTACATTTTAACAACTCTTGTATACTGTTTAAATCGCTAACATAACGATGTATGCAATGTATTATCAATATCGTGTTTAAATCGTTTACATTGCAGTGTTTGCGATATCGTGTCAACATCATTTATTTATATTGTACGAAAACTTATATATTGTTTACATAGTTTACATCGTTAAGTTCGAGATATTTAGAATGTATTAACGATATCGTCTTTACGTCGTTTACATTTATGACTAATTATAGGAGTTATTGCAAATTAAAGTCGACTTTCCTCGTTAATTTTTCAATTATTGCTTATCAAAAAATTATATCAAATTTTTAAAATTATTATTTTTGGTAATAATATTGCGGTAAAAATGCCTTAAGAACATAACTATTTCAAGAATTTGAGTATTTCAATTAAATGAATTTTTTTTTTTATTTTCGTACGCACAATACTTTTACAGATAAATAGCAAATGAACACAATCAATTTCATAAGTATTACATAATGATCGAAATTATTATTAATTTAAACCATTGAATTAATTATTATTGAAAATATCGTCATTACATAAGTTTAGCTAGGGGACTAACACAAAAGTAAAAAAATAAAATTATATTATTAATATACAACTAGAACACACCCGCGACATCGCGGGTCCATGACTGAATTAAAGTATCTTTGAAGAAATGAATTTATAACAAGCGATAAGGAATGTAAGTTTGCACTTGGTGATGTCTACGTATTCATCATGTTTATAGATCGGTTAAAAACCCAAAACGAATGTTACGTAATGGAAATCTAGGCGATAGCAATACATCGGAATGCCCTCACGGTCATCCGCTGTAAAAATCCAAAAATGACAAAATTCAATTGAGTTGTCATATGATAAGATATCGTCTCTGTACACAATATAAACACGATGTTGAAACGATATTGTTAACATCGCGACTTTGAAGAGGTTAATGATGTAAACACAAAACTAAAGACTCGTTTTACATTATAATATAAAAATAAGAAGATGTGGTATAATTGCCAATGAGACTGACAACTCTACACACGGTTTCGACACGATATTGTTAACATTGCGAAGTTGACGAGGTGGAAGATGTAAACACACATATATAGTCTCGGTATACGATATTAGTCAACAAAGCGATGTTTACAATGTCTATCATCCCTAGTGAATGGAGTATTGTATAGAATTGTATCATGTATGTACATTATATTCCACCTCACATAGAAACTAAAAACTCGCACTTTGGTTCAGATCATTTCATTTAAATCAACAAATGCTTGAAAGAACCTAAACATGCTCAAAACCCTGGCATTTTATTCTTAGATACATGATGTTTTAGTTGTATTTGGCTTTCAACTAGCTTTCACTTGGTCTTCATTCGACCTACAATAAAACCCTTGCCAAAGTTAGGCGTTCATTTGGCGCGGGATGTATGTATACGCAGTTACGTCTGGTCAGAATGAGGGCGTAAAATACGATGCCTAGTGTAGAGAGAATGCCACGCTCTCTTCACGTTAAGAACTCTTGCAACAACTCTTTTAGGGGTCCGTAGGTGGTCTGCTGAAAGGCAAAATTTCTGTCTCTATCCAATATAAAACCTTCATTTTCCAATGGCATTTCCAATTTCAAAACCTTCATCCTGAACAGGACTCTCGGATCTACTTGTAATGACCATGATTATTCATATTCCTTAGCAGGTAGTAGTTTTACAGTACAGGATAACAGAAAATATGAATTTCTTGAATTTTGTTAGATAGTATGAACAGAACAGAACAGAACCGAACTTCTGGATTAGGCATCGACTGTTTGTGTGGCCGGGGGAGGGTGAAGGTTTAAGAATCAACAGATGAATGGTCGATGCCTAGCCCAAATGATAGTATGTATATATTACATGTAGTCTCAGTATTATTTTAATGAAGGATCGTCAATATGTACTATCAATTGACGTATATATCAATTATATCCTCAATCAGAAAGGAATAGAATTTAGTACCTTTTACTTTAAACAGTTAAAATTATGTTTATTTGACGGAATACAATTATATTTAAAGTATACTTGATTTGGCAAATTTAACTTTCTGTATTAGACTCGTAATTGTTTCATTGATATCTAAATCGTTTTGTAATACCATATAAGACTTAAAATTATAATCTTCAGGTATTTAATGTCTGAGGACCTGATTTTGTGACACACATATGAATTATAATTTTTCTTACACCTTTGCCAAATTGAAACTCCTACACATGTTTCCATATATAGTTACTGGTAATTCGTGACGTCGTTTACCCACAAAAAGTAGTTCTTCTAGTATATTCAAAACTGACTATAATTTAGTCGCTGAATTTAGTATGTACCATATTTTGTATGATAGTTATATGTTTATTTCCAATGTTACATCAGAAACTATATTTAGATATATCGTGTTTGTTTGTCTACCAGTGGCGGATCCAGAACTTTTTATAAGGGGACCACTGACTGACCTAAGGGGGGCCCTCTCCAGTCATGCTTCAGTGATTCCCTATATAATCAACCAAATTTTTCCCACAAAAGGCCCCCCCCCCCCTCCCCCTGGATCCGCCTATGTCTACCTATTAGTATCATACAAAATGTTTTGCTTGACAGACGGAGCGAGTGGGAGTAATAGCCGATACTAATTTCTCAGCGTCACAGATGATCACGAATGATCCTCTTGTCCTCGTGCACAATTTACCAACGAATACGATATCATCAGATTTTTACTTGCCAATACCAACAGTACGGAAAAAGATTTAACCTTTTTTGGTATTTTTGATAGTTTTGATCCTCTTGCTGTTATTATTACCCGAAAACAGATTTTAGGTGAACAGAGACATAAATCAAACAGAACTTATTGTTTTATTTACAAATGTACAACAAAAACCAAAACAAGCCTTATGCGTCAATTTCCAACTAGGTAATATCATATGTCGCACGCATACGTCTCCAAATGGGTCGATTTTTTTACTTGCAAGACAATAATGCATCAATGAAGTTTTAAACTTATTTTGACAACACTGAACCAAACCGACTGCTAAAAGCAAATCATACTGCAGCTTGAACGTTTCCTGTTGTCAACATCTGCCAAAAATAGTAACACAGAGATATTTAGTACAATGTCAATTTCATGTCACATTACATTTATTCACAATATGGAGTTCGTTTAGGAATGAAACATGCTTTTCATTACTTTAACATTCTCATAGCTATTAGATTATAAATATGGCCAGTTTTAGCTGCAGTATAAAAAAAAACTGTAATAGGTCAATGTCAGAAAAATGTCAACTTTTTTTGTATTGCGCGGACACGAAAGGTTGAAGGGTTCGGTATAAACCTCGACCTTCCCCCGATTCTAAGCCTCCTACAAACAAATTGATATTTGTCTGACATTGACATAGTATTGCATATTAAATATTTTAAATTTCGTTCTTCTAAATGTTTAGTGAAAGCTAAAAACAATATCTTTTAGTTTTCTAAGAACCTCTGTTGTACTCCACCATGATTTAAATTCTATAAGCCTTTTTTTTTAATTATACAACCATGAATTTCAGTTGTTATAAATATTGCTGTACTGATACAGAATCAGATAAAAACAAAGTATTTCCTACTTATTCCGACAAAACCGTACATCATGCCGCTTAACAAAGGTTGCCAATTTAATTTATCAGTATACCATTACAGAAATTTTTATGCCAAAAATATGATATGTTGCCATGCGTATATAAAGTTGTTCTTTTTAAAACATGCAGACTGGCACAGATTTCTCTCTCTCTCAAAACGGTAAACTGTGGATATAATATTCAATAAAATGAAAATCTGAATTCCTTATCAATTAATTTAAGATACTATTTGCTTTTATTACTTATCAATTGTGTTTATACGATTTCATCGAAACTTGATAATTTGAATAATTTGCAATGTTTGGATGATTGATATGGAAGGTGTGGCCTTTCTCGGTTTTTTTAAAACGACAATATATGAATGTATGAAAACTAGTGGCAAATAATTTCACTTTCAAACAATAAAATTGAGAATGGAAATGGGGAATGTGTCAAAGAGACAACAACCCGACCATAGAGCAGACAACAGCCGAAGGCCACCAATGGGTCTTCAATGCAGCGAGAAACTCCCGCACCCGGAGGCGTCCTTCAGCTGGCAAACCTGGCCGTTCAATGTTTGACACATTCTTCGCAACACTATCGGGTTTTATAAAAGACTTTTAAAGAAAAAACACAAACGCAAATATCAATTTGCCGACAGCCCGTCGTATTTGATGGACGCCGGATCTAATATCATGATAAGAAATGTAATATTGTTTAAAACAGCAAAAAACAAACATGTCGTATTTCTATGCTTCTGTACATTATAATAGAACATTTTTTCTCTTTAAAGAAAACAAAACCTTTCGAAAATAATTACCTTACTGATGCAGGCCGTCCAGGAAAAAAAATGTTCATTGGAAACCTGTATTCGACGACAATGCGCAAGCCTATCTCAGGAAAAAGGTGTTCGGACCTCACCTACTATTATGAAAGAGATGACGTAAATGCAAAATTCTTGCTACGAAAAATTACTATAAAAGTATATATATGAATTTAAGTGATGCCTGTACCCGGATATAAACAAACCCTCTGATTAGACCATACGCATATTGCTCATAAGGTCAATCCAATATTTTCTCGCTTAATTTCGAATCACAAGACAATATTATTATAAATTCGCATTTGAGTTTTTGTTAATAAAAAATTCGTTATCAAAAATCCAAATTTAATTTTTGTAGTTAATGCCTTTTTTTTTTTATCACAACAGCCATTCCATTGTCACATATTGTATCATTCAAATGCAAATGGCAATCTATTGACCAAGATGAACTTCTTTCATAAATTCTGCTGTCAAAAGTATAAATGTAAATATTATTTTACTTGGTGACAATTATCAAGTGGAAGAGGAATAATTGGTGAGTCGAGAACAAATTACTAGAAAGGTAAATAAAATATTTGAAATATACAGGCAGTACTAATGCATATTGTTTTACTTTCATTATTATATAAGAAGCTTGTTAAACTGGTAATAATTTAATTCTGAATGTAATACGTCTTCTGATTGGCTGAAAGTTTTTTGTCTATCAGCTCATAGACATAATTTTGTCATGTGACCGTGGCGTCATCACATTTTTTTCATAATTTACTCCTTAAAAATGGAATGTAGAATTAAATTATGAGGAATGGTTGTAATATTTTTTTTTGTCTATTCGAAATAACCTCAAAAATGTGGTGCCCACTTTTAAATAACACGCTACGCGGGTTATTCAGTGTGCACCACATGATTTATGTTATTTCTACATAGACAGAAACAATATTACATTCATTCCTTTATTAAAAGTAAATTATATTTCAGTGATGTACATTTTTGTATATTGCGAGGCATATTGATAAAAGAAATAGGAGAAATAATTACATACATAATTTAAAGATCATTCCATGCAGATACCACTTTTCAGATTATTCCTCATAGTCCTGACTGACTTCACTTAATATGCACATTTTCTAAAATAGTTATATAAAAAAAAAACGATACGCCTATTTCTATGTATTGGAAACCCCCTTTTTTTGACGATCAATGCTTTTGAATGGGGATAAATGGTTGGAACCCCTCTTTTTTTTTAAATGGCTGGATCGGTCCCTGGTGGTATGACGTAAATATTACACGGAAGCTAATTAGAATGAAATGTTTAGTTATTCTACATTCAAGTGTGCTCCAGAGTCAAATAATATAGACAATCATGTCTTTACCACATCTTAGTTTTAAGCATCTTCTGAACATTAATGGTTCCTACTATGTTTTGGCTACATTCAATCTTAAACAGAAGTAAAATATAATACATTATACGTTTCTGCATGGTTTCAGATCTTGAGAAATCAAGTCAACTGTGATTTGAAAAAAAAAAATGTTTTGATCCATTTGCAAATGAATTTTGCTGACAAAGCTATCGTCTTGAATTTCAGGATAAGACATTAGTTCTACAGGTAATCTATATAATTGTAGATACGTTTCATTTGAGAAAATAAAATAAATTCTTGCTATTGATATAAAAATAAGAATGTGCGGCATGATTGTCAATGAGACAACCCTTCACCAGAGATCAAATGACGTAAATGAAAGCAACTATAGGTCACCGCATGCCTTCTACAAAGAGCAAAGAGCAAAACACATACCGTATAGTAAGCTATAAAGGGCCCCGATATGACAACATGTAATACAACTCAAACGAGAAAACCAACGGCTTAATTTATGTACAACACAACAAACGGAAAACAAATATGATACTAGTATATTACAGCGATCAACGACAACCACTGCAGAATTGCAGGCTCCTGACTTGGGACATGCACATACAGAATGTGACGAGCGCTTAGACTTGCTACATGTCCACTCCTTATCATATTTTTTTACCCTAATTTTAACCCCTTAAATAAAATAAAATTAAGTACTATAACAAGTGTTTGCCATTATATACCTGCAGATGAATTTCTCCAAGCTTAAGGGTAATCAGGTCTTTGGGGCAATCAGTACCATGCATAAGAAGGAAATACTGTAGCAAGCCTTGAGGGCGCTATTTCCTCCCCTAAACCTGGGAAACATCACGGTCTATGTGCATATTCAACAAAGAACACTATCCAATATTGTGGACTAGAATAGAATACATGACAATAATCTCTTTTTGATGATCTTGTTTTGCTGATATTTTTTTCTGTATACAGTTTCTCTCTATCTTAAGAGGGTAAAACAATCGTTATTTAAGGGCAGCAAACTAACTATATCGGCAAATTTTGACTTGCTTGGAGATCTTTTTTGCTATTAAAGTTTCAATCTATCTATTACAGATTTTAAGAGATTAGGTTTCAATTTATCTATAACAGATTTTAAGAGATTATGCGAAATCGCAAAAAATTGGTAAAATCATCATTAAAGGGCAATAACGTTAAAAAGAAGTCTTCTGACGATTTCGGCCTTGTTTGACTTATTTGTAGATCTTGTCTAGTTGATCATTTATGCTTTTTAAATTTCCCTCTATCTATTATAAATTTCAAGATAATAGGCAAAAATGAAAAAAAAAATCGGTATTTAAGGGCAATAACTCCTATCTAAGAAGTCGTCGGACAGGTTTGAAGTACATGGACAATAGGTAGAGATTCAACATTCTGAACATTTCTGCCCCTATCAGATATTCTCTATTTATAGCGGTTTTCAAAATAATACACAAAACTTGCATTTTATCCCTATAAGCTCTTTTTTTAACCAAGTCGGCCATCTTGTTTTGTAGGCGGGGCCATCGGACACTTTCAAAATTACATGTAAATACCGTAATGATGATTGTGGCTAAGCTTGATTAAATTTGGCCCAATAATTTCAGAGGAGATGCTTGTAAAAGTTAACGGACGACGACAGCGACGACGGACGACATCGGGACAGTCAGTCATTAAGTCGCCGGACACAAAACAAATCGTGACACACACACATGAAACCAACTTAAAAAGACGAAATACACACTGTTCCGACTTAAGAGTACTCGCAGTTACTGAAAGCTTGTTCAAAACCAATAATATATTACAAATCATGTTTTCTGGACTAAAACATCAGTCAGTATACCTCCAATGGCCTGATTTAGTACAGATAAAGACGTCATTATGGCATTCTACTCTTTTCACATATCGGATACAAAGCCATGGGACAACTAACATATGTTAATAATTATGTCCTCGAGATTTATATATCCCATGTTAAAACATAGAGTAAGATGCATTATTCAAGTATGTTGGTCACAGTAAAATCCCATAAATTGCACCAGAGACAAAATAATTATTGTCTCTGCATGATTGGCAATTTGCACCTATGTCCGGTGGAAAGTAAATATAACCCTCTGATTAAAAATTCAGAACAATGGTGATCCCAGAGTTCTGTTCCTCTTTGAAGATTTTCAATACTGTGTAGCCAATCAGATTATTTGGAAAGCCAGAAGTCAATCGATAATGGAACTATATTCTACGCGCAAACACAATGTGTAAAATAATTTATGAATGAGAAGTCATGTGACAGCCCGGAAGTTACTATCATTCATAAACATATATACAGTCGTGTGAATGGCCACAACGAAACACAAACTTTCGTCAAATACACAACGAAATACCATGTTTTCGCGATAGTATTGTATCAGCTGCCAAGTTTTCTTAATGGATAACATTCCTGCGAACTCTGTGGAACCAGAAGAACTGGTAAACCATATAAAAAGCCAACCAGAATGCACTTTGATCTTGGACAGCCGTTCATTCATGTCATACAACGAGAATCACATCGTTCATTCAGAAAATGTCCATTGCCCACCTATAGTAAAGCGGAGATCTGGTGGATTTGTAGCACTAGAAAATATTGTACCATGTGAAGTTAAACGAAAACAGTTAGAAAGTGGTGTATTCAGGAAAATAATTGTGTATGACGGAGACACGTGTGACTTAACCTCAGCATCGAAAGATTCTAATTTATACTCAGTTCTGAAGAGTTTAAGACAACAGTTGGTTGATAAAATTGATTCTGGTGATATATGTTATCTTAAAGGTTTGTATGTGATTGTTGAAAATGTTTTTTTTTACATTTACGTGTAACTATATGTACCTATATATTATATACATGAATGGGTACTATCTGCATTTATGGGTATTATACCCCAAATTGGGTATCAATTTACAATGATAATAATCAATTTTGTATTCCTTCATGTAAATGGCCTCATTTCCCCCTTTAAGACCATAGTTCAAATGAGAACTGAATACAAAGATATACAAATAAAATCCTACTTTTTGGAGGCTGTTAACTTTTCTCCTGATAATATTTCAGTCATGGTGTCTTTAGGTAAAATGTTGTTGAACAATGTTCTTTTATACCCAAATGTTTGCACCATGACAGAAAATATCTGGAAATCCAAAGTTTATATTTTTATCACTAAAAATTGATACCTATTTCATGTATTTTGGGGTATAATATCCATTAATGAGGATCCTCCCCATCCTGTTCAATATAGGTTTACAAATACAAATGTATTAGACATTAGAATTATAAGGTCAGCCTGGAAACAATATCTAATGTACATGTACAAAATGTATCTTTATTATAATCAATGTTTTGTCTCCATAAAATTCCCCCAAAAATGTATCTGAATTTATTAAAATATTGATATTGTATCCTAATCATGCAAATGTTGATTTTGCATATATATATATACATACATTGTACATGTACATGTATATGGAAACAAGGATTTGTATAGTCTCACTATACAAATCCATGATGGAAATTAAAAGAATGCATGGAGTTTTAAAAATAACAATAAATAACCCCCCCCCCCCCCCCCAAAAAAAAATAAGAAAAGTAATCAGTACATTTATGCATACAAGTGAACAGTGAAATCAGAGTGAAAGTCATACATTGTAATATGCAAAGAAGGACCGAAAAATATTAGTCACAGTGGCCAATGGCATTGTAAAAGGTTCATTCAAAATTACTACATTTTATGTTTACATGTGAAATTAATTACCAAGGAATTTACCTTTAGGGCATGTAAGCATGAATGAATGAAACTTAGCTTCCCATGATTTCCTGGATAATATAAACAATAGTAAACACCTTTACATGATGATTAAAACTTACCCCTTACCTTGGTATAGAAAATGTATACATTGTATCATATGTAAGGATGAAAATGATTTGAACTGATAGACAGTGACAGACCAAATACTTATTAGCACATCAATATATTTAATTCACATATTTACTTTAGAACTTTGTTACAATTTAGTTGAAATATTCCTGTGCTTTGAATTAATGATTGTATATATGTATGCATGAAGTCATGACTTATCCCTTTTAACCCTCTTCATGTACACAATGTATACTTATTGCATAAACAGTGTCAGAGGGGGTTCAGAAGGAAGTTTTCCATATTGTAATAATGAAGTTGTAAAAGTGTACAGTCCTCCTCATGTGACATTTAGCATGTACAATGTACATGTATGGAAAAGAGTCTAGAAATATAATAATTAATAATTTACAGCTTAACTTGGGTGAATTAAGAATTATAAATATATTAAATACTTTAGTTCTGTATACAATGTACATTGTAGTTGACTGTAGTTTGAAATTATTTAGATTTTGTTCTATAATCATGATAACTGTGACTTATTATTGAATTGTAAGTGTTCCTCGAGCTCTCTACCGTTTGCAGTTCATTCAAAATTCTGACCTAATTGATTGTAATTTGTTTCTTTAAATCAAACTATTCTACTGGTCTCAAATTTGAACAATCTGCTGTACATGTACCTTATGTACAAACAATTTTTTCAGGATGGAAAATTCATTCTTTTGCTAGTACAATGTACGTCTTTATTTTCCTTCTTGTACATGCATTGTGTATGTATGTCCTGCATTTTGTATTTTGTTGGAGAATACATTCATTTACATTCTGTCTTGGGCAAAGTTACACAAAGTTATTTTCTTTTAGGGATTCTATCATATTAAAGATTTATCAGGTGTTGGTTCACTTGTTTATAAAATTTATTTTCAGATATTCCCAGGCAACAATATTCATTTCCAAAATCCTCCTGGCCTGCAGAGAATATCAAATTGTCATATCCCCTAATATGCATATGAGTTAAATTATTGACTTGCAAGTTAATAATACACCAGTGATGTTGGTTTTTTAGCTTATTTTGACAAACTTGAACCAAACCGACTGTAATAGCAAACAAATATTTCTTTGGGAAAAATTTATAGAGAAACTTGTTTTGGTCAATCATATTCTACTTCAAAAGGAGAACATTTTTTACTGCATTTTTATGATACATTGTATAGTACACATACTTGTATTATGAATTTGGTCCTGTTTGAGATGCTTTAATAACTCTATCTTCAATATACCTCAGGGATTGACTAAGGATTTTTACGGCGAGTCCTGGAGTCCAGGGACTAGTCATTTTTGTCCAACAGTGTGAAGATGAATTAAATTGCTACACAATTTGTTGTTTTGGTCTCTCTGACAACATAGATTAAAAAAATTACATTAAATTTAGATAATATTTTAACTTTTGTTATAAAATGATGATGGTTGTACTTAGTTGATATACATTTAACAATCTTCGTGCATCTTTGGACTCACCAGTTTTGAAAATGATGAGTTCAGGACTCTTGGACTCGCCTTAGTTGTTGATTGCAATTAAGATGTATCAAATTAAAACCATAAACTACATGCACACACATTCAAATCAAAATGGGTGCTAGAGTAGATATACATGTAACCTAGTGCTACATGTAGGACAAAAATCAAGTACAACATACATTTTGTACATGTAGAAGACTTCAGCTTCAACATATTTTGTTTAATGATATATAAAATACATGTAAAAAAATGTAGCACATAAATTTCATTTTAAATAAATATACATGTTTTGATTGTAATTTTTTTTAATATCGATTTAGGTTTCAACTTTTCTACTTTATTTTAAAGTCATATGATCATATGATACATTTTGTACTTCAAATTAAATACAGATTAAAATTGGCATGCATGTATAAAATGTATAATGCTCATGTACAGTATGTTTTTTATACTCAAATAGCTTTTCCTATAAAACATGTGTACTTGAAAATCTTTTATCCTATGAAAATCTTCAGAAATGTACTTAGTCCTTGAGGAAAATGTAAAAACACCTTACTCAAAAAATTTGCTACAATATAAATACTTGACACTGCTTGAGAAAGGCAACTAATTTGCATCCCATAAAAATACAGAATGATAAAATTAATATCATGTGTACGAAAATAAAGAATAATAAAATTGAGAATGGAAATGGGGAATATGTCAAAGAGACAACAACCCAACCAAAGAGCAGACAACAGCCGAAGGCCACCAATGGGTCTTCAATGCAACGAGAAAATTCCGCACCCGGAGGTGATCCTCAGCTGGCCCCTAAATAAAATTGTGTACTAGTTCAGTGAAAATGGACGTCACACTAAACTCCAAAACATATAAATGAACTAAAATTAAAAAAACATATAAGACTAACAAAGGCCAGAGGCTCCTGACTTGGGACAGGCGCAAAAATGCGGCGGGGTTAAACATGTTTTGTGAGATCTCAACCCTCCCCCTATACCTCTAGCCAATGTAAAATATAGAAACACATAGCAATACACACAGTAAAACTCAGTTCAAAAGAAGTCCGAGTCCGATGTCAGAATAGGTAACAAAAGAAACTAAGCAAAATGACAATGAAACATAAATGAACAAAGGACTACTAGCAGTTACTGACATGCCAGCTCCAGACCTCAATCAAACTGATTGAAAGATTATGTCTTCATCATATGAAAATCAAGTACAATCCCTCCCGTTAGGGGTTTAGTATCATACCATCATAAAATATATGAGAAGAACATAACCCGTATCATGCCAATAACTGGTTTTAGAATAAATGTGTTTATTTCCGATGCAAAGACCCTATGAGTGAATCAATATTAATACCAAAATATGCAATCCTTAATGACTTGACAACAGTATCGTAACTATATCCTTCCTGAATAAGTCTGTTTAAAGGTTTGGTTAGCTTTTGAGGGGAATGCCGACATTTTTGTGCTTTGTAAAGAATATTACCATAAAATATTGGATGTGAAATACCCGAACGTATAAGATGTCTGCATGTTGATTTATATTTACGAATGATGTCCTTGTACCGATGATAAAATTTAGTAAATGTTTTGACTAACTACATTGTTACTGATACATATAGATGGATTCTCATCTTTTGACATGAATAAATCAAAAATTCTATTTCAATCTTTAAACAAAACTTATTCACACTAGGTAATTGAAAAGGGACAAGAACAATTTATCTGAACAGGTAAAGTTTTGATGCAGTATGTCATTTACACACCTTTTTTAATCAATAGATAAAATCAGTGCATCTCTCCAGGTAATCCAATTAGAGTGACCACCAGCCCATGGTTTACGACCCCAATAAATGGCCAACATCCCAAGTTTTATTACCCCCAATAAATGGTCACCATTGGATGTTGAACATAGCAGATGGTGAACGTTTTTCAGAGTATGTCACAGGTTGTACTGTATATGTACAGTATGTTTTATTTACTCAAATAGATTTTCCTATAAAACATGTGTACATGAAAATCTTTTATCTTATGAAAATCTTCAGAAATGTACTGCTATTGAATTAAAATCTTCCTGTACCGTAATTCACTGACAGCTTTTATGTATGCAGTGACAGACCTTAACCAGGAGAACTCTAGATAGAAAACACTGTATCTTTGACTTCTTCGCCCCTGGTACATGTAGCTTGGGCTCTGCTGTTAGTGCTCTAGTCCTATAGCGTATTGAATAATATGAAAGCAAACTGGCATTATGAGGCACAGTAGGAACCACATCGGAAGTCTTGTGGTAGAGTTCTCGCATCAAGTGATGAGGGTTGTGGGTTTGAACCCCAGCCAGGTCAAACCAAAGACTTTCAAATTGGTATTTGATGCTTCTTTGCTTAGCACTCAGCATTTATAAGTTA